GATCTCCGTGGGGCCTGGCCTAGGGTGTTGGGAAGGGAGCGTGGCCTCTGGTTGGGAGGGAGTTGATTAGGGTGCAGGGTTGGGTGGGCAGGCAGCTGGCTGGGAGCGGTTGGGCCTGCTCCAATTGCTCTGAGCCCTCTGCATCCTCCTCTTTCTCATGCAGGTTCATCTATGAACTCGAGCACTTCAATGGCGTGGCCGAGCTGCTGGAGATATTAGGAAGGTGACTCCCCCTGGGCCTCAGCCAGAGCATCAGTCTGGGGAGGAAGGGTTGAGGCCGGTCACCTGAGCCCTCCTCCTCTCTCCTGTCCCCCTCCTCAGCATCATCAACGGCTTTGCGCTGCCCCTGAAGACTGAGCACAAGCAGTTCCTGGTCCGGGTCCTGATTCCCCTGCATTCCGTGAAGTCGCTGTCGGTCTTTCATGCCCAGGTAAGGCCCAGACCTGGCCCTGCAGGGCAGAGAGCGGACAGTCAGGGCAGCATGTGGGTTGGCCTGCCACTCTGGCTTCAGCCACACCAAGTCACCTTCTTTTCCTTTACTGGTTCTGTTCCTTCTCCCTTAGAGAAGCCCCATGACCCTTTAAGAGTCTCAGACATCAGCTCTGTGAAGCCCTCGCAGCCCCTTTCTCTCCACCTGCCCTAGGCAGGATGAAACTCTCCTGTATTCGCATAGATTGTGATACAGGTTTCTATCATGGAAACGTCTGTAAAATTTATAAGGACGGGTTTGCTGAATGTTACCCCTGTGAGAGCATCACTGTGTCCCCGCACACTGAGCATGATGCCTGGTACATCCTAGGTAAATGCTTGGTGAATGAGAGTAGACTCAGTAAGTGACCTGGGTCCTGCCCTAGCCCCCTCCTGACCCGTCCTCTCTCTCCGCCCCACAGCTGGCATACTGCGTGGTGCAGTTTCTGGAAAAGGATGCCACCTTGACAGAGCATGTGAGTACCTCTGGGGGAGAAGGCAGGTCTCCGCCCCTGCAGGTCTGACTCCTTTCTGCCCCAACTCCCACAGGTGATCCGGGGACTGCTCAAATACTGGCCAAAAACCTGCACCCAGAAGGAGGTAGGAAAAGGGCTTTGACGACCACCAGAGGGAGGTTAGGAAAGCTCAGCTTCCGGAGGGCAGTCAGGTGTGTGTCAGGGGAGATGGAACTGCTGCCCATGTTCCTACCCCTCAGGTGATGTTTCTGGGGGAGATGGAAGAGATTCTTGATGTCATCGAGCCCTCCCAGTTTGTGAAGATCCAAGAACCCCTCTTTAAGCAGGTGGCTCGCTGTGTGTCCAGCCCCCATTTCCAGGTATGGGGTGGGAATGGGGGATGGACTAGGAAGGTTGACCAGTTGACCTAACAGCTCCCTCGGCCCTCTGGACTGTCCTGGGCTTGATGATGGGGAGATGCTGGACTTGGGGCCGAGCCCTTGGGTCAAGCCTCAGATCTGCCTCCCACTGGGTGAGGGGCCTTGGGCAGATCACTTCACTCTGAGCGTGACTAAGCGTCTCATCTGTAATGTGGCCAACAGGGACTTTAGAGAAAGTGGGGTAAACATATTTGGTAACTGAAATGTGCTCCACATGGGTTATCCCTTTTCTTTCTTTTTTTAAAAAATATTTTTTTATTGACTTCAGAGAAGGGAAAGGGAGAGAAAGATCGAAATACCAATGATGAGAGAACCATTGATTGGCTGCCTTCTGCGTACCTCCCACTGGGGACCGAGCCCACAACATGGGCCTGTGCCCCTGACCAGAATCGAATCCAGGACACTTCAGTCTGCAGGCCAACACTATCCACTGAGCCAAACCAGCTAGGGCAATGGTCGGCAAACTGATTAGTCAACAGAGCCAAATATCAACAGTACAACGATTGGAATTTCTTTTGAGAGCCAAATTTTTTAAACTTAAACTATATAGGTAGGTACATTGTTATTAACTTAATTAGGATACTCCTAAGGCTTATGAAGAGCCACACTCAAGGGGCCAAAGAGCCGCATGTGGCTCATGAGCCACAGTTTGCCAACTACGGAGCTAGGGCATCTCTCCTTTTCTTAGTGGCCTTCAATTTAATCAGTCCCACTTCAGGGCCCAGATGGGACCCCCCCCCCCACCCCCCATCATGAGGCTGGCTGTCACTAGTGTCTACATGTGTGACAGACTTGCTCCCATTCTTATGAGCCGTAACCTGGTGGAAGTCAGTTCTTCCTCACAGTGATTCTGGCACCTCATTCAACAGCCCTGGGGAGATAGCTATTATTTATTAGCACCATTTTACAGATGAGAAAACTGAAGCTGCGAGGTTAATGCCTTGCCCAGGTCACGTGGCCAATGTGCAGTGGAGCTGGAATTCAACCCTGAGTGTTGGACTCCAAATCCAGTTTCTTTCCTCCTTGTCACATTGCTTCCTCCAGTGGGATAGATGAGTCCTGAGGATGGGGGGTGAGGGCAGGGCGCCCTGGGTTTTGGGGTGGATACCAGCCCTTGCACACGCAGGGAAGCCTCTGCCAGGCACTCCCTCTGCCATCTCCCTGCCCCAGGTTGCAGAGCGGGCTCTGTATTTCTGGAACAACGAGTATATCCTGAGCCTCATTGAGGACAACTGCCACACTGTGCTGCCTGCTGTGTTTGGGACCCTCTACCAGGTCTCCAAAGAGCACTGGAATCAGTGAGTGCCCAGGCCCAGCCCAGGCCCAGCCAGTCCAGACCCGAGGCTACTCCTAGCTAGAGAGAATGAGGGAAGGGTCTCAAGAGGGCTGAGGGGTGGCAAAGGGGCAGGCGGAGGGCAGTGCCTGTGGGGTTTAGGCTGCAGCTGTGTTTGGGGAGCAGGGTCAGGCAGAGCGCTGTGGAGGGAGGTGGGGCCAAACTGAAGTTGCTCTCGTCTCACCCCCTCCCTTGACCTGCCAAGAACCATCGTATCTCTGATCTACAATGTGCTCAAGACCTTCATGGAGATGAATGGGAAGCTGTTTGATGAGCTCACAGCCTCCTACAAGCTGGAAAAACAGCAGTGAGTGTTGGGGGGCTGGGCATGGAGGGAGGGGGGAAAGCAGGAAGGAACCAGCTCCTCACGGTTGGAGGGAGCCTAAGAGGATGACCCCACGTCCGATCTATTCAGATACTTAAAGTCTCTCCCTATGTTCCTGGCAAGTGCTGCCCCTCCCCTCTACCCTGTCGTCATCCTCCCCAGGGCTTCCCCAGGTGCGGAGCTTGGACGCCCTGGAGTTTCCTCCTCTCTAGCTGGGTCTCTCGAGCCAGGCCAAGCCACCTGCTCGTGACCAGCATCCTCCGTGGTCTCTTCCCGGAGTGGAAGGCTCCCCTAGATCCTTCGCAGATGAGGTGGTGGTGAGGGAAGCTGGGCTGCAGGCAGGGCCTCAGGTGGGGGAGCTGCCTAACCCTCTCTCCCCAGGGAGCAGCAGAAGGCCCAGGAGCGGCAGGAGCTGTGGCAAGGCCTGGAGGAGCTACGGCTACGCCGGTTACAGGGGACCCAGGGGACAAAAGAGGCCCCCCTCCAGCGCCTTACACCCCAGGTGGCCGCCAGTGGGGGTCAGAGCTAGAGATCCCATAGAAAGGGAGGAACTAAACCCAGAGCTATCAGTCCCTCTATGCCCTCTCCTGCCCAGGGGCCCAGAGAGACACACACCTCCCCCTGGCCTTGCGGAGTGGGTTGGAGGGCTCCCTGCCTGGCCCAGCGTGGACCCTTTACTGTGGGGAGGAGAGGAGAGGAGATGGTGGTCCTGGCAACAGAACTCTCAGGCCCTTGTGGCAGGACTTGACCAGGGCAAGCTTGACCAGGAAGCTGCCATCAGGGATCTCCCTGCCCCCAAAAGCTGAGCTCCAGACTGCAGGCAGGTTCCCACACCCTGCTCCCAGCCTAGGGCAACAGGACTCAGCTCCTCGTGTACCGCACCTCGTGCCAGCGCGAGGTCTTCCTGCACCCCACCATGGATCCATGGTCTATTTATTCTCCCCTGCTCACCCCCAACAGATGCTGACCTGGGCCTGGGCATCCTCCTCCCCTCCCCTACCTCCCTCTACTTTCTTGTCCCCTTTTTATTTATTGGGCAGGGGGAGGGGTGAGGGCACAGGCAGAAGAGATTCCCCATGTCCTGGGGGGGCAAGGTGGGGTCACAGTTACCATGGTCTGTCCCCCTTCCCCTGGCTGGGGGTAGACTTAATAAAGACAGAAACTCGAGGACTGCTTGCTTTATTAAGGGATGGGGCCAAAGAGGGAAGTGAAATGATGAGACACTGGTCAGGAGGCGGCAGAGGCAGGGAAGAGGCAGACTTCCCTTTTCAGGGGGTTGAAGCTGCCGTCCTCAGTGATGCTCAGGATGTACTCCACCTCGCCCCTCTGACCAAGGGGAGGGAGGTGGGACAGGGAGGGCTAGTAGCGTGAGAGGCGACACATGTCACACTGGCAGGCTCTGGCCGTGAAGATCTCCAGATCCTCCCTCCGGCCCCCCCCACACTGCAGCTGCACCTTCACCTGTGGGAGAGCGATTCGGTTCCAGTCCCCTTCCTTGAGCCATTTTAGACCCCCGTCTCTTGTCTCTCCCAATGGGCCCCCTCACCTTCCTCAGGCCAGTGATGGTGCAGCATTGAGAGATGGAGGTGACGTTGTGTCGGTAGCCACTGGCCACCAGCACTGAGTACCGCGAAGGGAAGGCGCTGGACTCGCAGTGGCCCACGCAAGCCTGTGCCACATGGGAGCCCTGGCAGGTGCCTTGGCGGTCACTGCGCACCGTCACGTTGAAGGCTAGGAGGAGACAGGCGAGTGGTAGACGGTGCCTCTGCACAGGCTCGCCCAGCTCCCACTGCCTGTTTCCTCCGTGGGTCCATCGAGGGTGCTGCCTGCCCCTGTCCAGCCCATCGGCTCTGCTCCCACCCAGCCCTCTGCTCCCGGGGTGACTCACGGTGCAGGTGGCAGCCTGGGATGGCCGCCTGCTGACCCCAGCCTTCAGTGACCACCAGGAACAGCAGGCAGAAGAGCAGGGTTTGGGGGGACGCCATGGGCATCTGAAACAGTGGTGGACATTCTCCAGATCGTGTGCAGGGCGAGGGGAAGTTCTTTAAATGCAGGATGCTTCCGGGTGAGTGAGCCAGGGCTCCGTTAGCCTATCTGACGGGTGCGGCTAGCCTGTGGGGCTGACTCTTCCTTGTCCCTGCCTCCGGTGAGTGCCTGTGCGTCTCTCTGGATGGGTATCAGTGTGGGCAGCAGTCTCTAGATGTGACTTGTCAGCCTGTTGTGGTGGTTTCCCCCTGCCTTTCTCCCACCATCTGTAGCACGAACGTCTGCCTCCCACCATCTGCCCCATCTTGGCCTCTCGGACCCCATCTGCAGTCCCCAGGTCCCTCAGGGCTCCTGCCTCAGGGGCTTACCACTTCCAAGGCCCAGGAGTCGAGTGGCTTGCTGAGTGGCTCCTTGAGCAGCCTGCTGCTGGTCTTCAGGCCTGCTGGTTCTGCGGATTTTTATTTGCCAGCACTAGGGAGCCACGCCTTCCTGGAGATCGGCTTTCAGGCCTGCCGCCCAGCCTCAGGCCTCAGCGATCCCACCTGGGAGATCCAGCTCTTTCTGAGGTGTGGTTGGGGGGAGTGGCATCTGCTGCTTTCTGCTCCCTTCTGCCCAAAAGCTGCCGAAGGTCCAGAGCTGGGAAGTGAGGCGTGGAGAGAAACCCAGGAGCTGGCTGGTGGAGTGGGCGGCCATGTGCAGTTGGAGAGAGGGCCCAAGACGGGGCTGAGTTGTTGCCACCTGGGTTCTCTGCTGTGTGGCCTTGGGCAGAACACTCATATTGAGGGCCTCACTACCCCAACCTTAAAACTACTAATGCCTGGCCAGCATGGCGCAATGGTTGAGTGGCGACCTATGAACCAAGAGGTCACTGGTTCAATTCCTGGTTAGGGCACATGCCCAGGTTGTGGACTGGATCCCCAGTAGGGGGTGTACAAGAGACAACCGATCGATGATGTTTCTCAATGAAGTTTCTATTTCTCTATTCCTCTCCCTAAATATAAAAACCTATTTTTTAAAAATATATTTTATTGATTTTCCACAGAGAGGAAGGGAGAGAGATAGAGAGTTAGAAACATCGATGGGAGAGAAACATCGACCAGCTGCCTACTGGGGATGTGCCCGCAACCCAGGTACATGCCCTTGACCGGAATCGAACCTGGGACCCTTCAGTCCACAGTCCGACGCTCTATCCACTGAGCCAAACCAGTTTCGGCATAAAAACGTATTTTTAAAAAATCCTACTACTAGCCAGTTTGGCTCAGTGGATAGAGCATTGGCCTGCGGACTGGAAGGTTCCAGGTTTGATTCGGGTCAAGGGCACATGCCTGGGTTGTGGGCTCGATCCCCAGTAGTAGGAGCGCAGGACGCAGCCAATCAATGATTCTCTCTCATCACTGATGTTTCTCTCTCTCTCCTTCTCCCTTCCTGTCTGAAATCAATAAAAATCTATTAAAAAACAAAAACCCTACTAAACTCAGCCCTGCCTGTCTCCTTAATCCACCACAGAGGGAAGAGTCTGGGAGATTCTGAAGGGCAGGGGAGATGACAACATGTTTCCAAGGGCTGTGGCTGGTCGTAGCCATGGGTTCTCCAGCTGCATGGGAGAGCAACCTGGAGAGACTGACCGCTTAGGTCAAAGTCAAAACTTAAGGCAGCTGCCACTCACCTTTCCTGTAATATCTTCAAAGAAAGAAATTACACCAGGGGCAGTCTGCTGAGATGTGCTTGGAGGCAGAGACGGGGGAGAGGGAGTTCTAGGTCAATGTCAGAGCTTCGCTTTCACTGTCAAGTGACAGGCTTCTCACCCTGGGGGTCAGCTCCAGAGTGGGCTTCTCCTGGTCACTGGGCCAAGAGATCTGGTGCCAGGAAGAGCCCTGAAGCTGCTGACCCCAGCAAATCCCATCATTCAGTCCAGCCCTGGCTCTGGTGTTACAGGTGAGGCCACTAAAGGTCAGAGGAGTGTCACTGAAGGCCATGTCAGGGCTGACGGGGAACCCAAATCTGCTGTCCATGCGTGGTGCTAACTTACACTCAGGACAAGAATGTGGCAAGTTGGAAAAAGACCCCTGGCCACCAGTAGCTGCAGGGGCTTGAGTGGGGTGGAAATCAGGTGAATGGCCCCCCACCCCAGGGCCACTGCCTCAGGTCCTGCTCCGAAAGAGCCAGCTGCAGGGACCGCCAGGGCTGGAAGGCACTTGAGAGCTCATCAAATCCTACCCCTTCACTTTTCAGATGAGAAAATAAGAACCAGAGAGAAAGCGACTCTGCCAAGGCTTCACTGTAAGCCAGTCAGTCAGACGCACTCAGGTCTCCAGATTCCGGATTGTGCCTCTCTGCAGCTTTGTGAAGCAGGCTGAGCTTGGGCGATAGGGCAAAGGCTGTAAATGCAACTTGTCCCTAGTCCTCCAGTCCCGACACCCGCCGGCTTCCCCTTCAGGTCCCAGGCCCTTTCGCAGTAGCCCACCTCTTCTCTTCTCCCAACCCCAGCTGAAGGCAGCAAAACAGGGGGTCTCCACGGGATCCAAGCAGTCCAGCCCCAAGGTTCCCACTCATCCTGGGAACCTCCCAGCACCCGACAGATAAAACAGCCGTTTAAAGACTAGAGGTGACAAGGGCTCATTACTTCCCAAGGCGGTCCATTCTAATACTAAACATCACTAACAGTTAAAAAATTATTCCTTTGTCCTCAGCTAAAATGAGTTTCCCTAAATTCCCACAATTACTTTGATCCTCTCTGGCCATACAACAGGAATCTAATCTGTCTGTCCCGACAGTGAGTCTGGCAAGACCCTAACCGCTGGCAGGGGACTTAAAGTTTGCAGTGAGGTACAGACCGCACCCACCCAAAGCATCCTGTCAACAAGAACCAGGCAGACCGGGGAGGTTTCAGGAATTGCTTCTCTGTATCTTGAAAGAGTTTGCTCTCTCTCACACTCTGCTTCACTCAACTCAGTCAATAACTGTTCATAAATAATTTACTGCCATAAGGATCCTAAGTGCTGGAGATGAAAGATCTAAACTCAACCTCAGAGCTGTACAGTTCTCAGACTAGAGCATTTTAGAAAGTTCTGTGCTTTTCTCAGTCTTAAATTGAAAAAACTTTTATTGGAAAGAGGCGAAACAGGACAAACCAGCAAGAGGACTCAGGGAGTTGGGGCTCCCATCCCCCATGACTTGAGTGTCATAAGCAGAGGACACTTCCCGCGGCTGCACTGGAAGGCTCACTGGCTGCTCTTTCTGAAGAAATACCGGAACGGGAAGAGAGAGCTGCAAGGAAGAAAGCAGAACAGCTTGAGAGTCCAGCGGTCCCTTCTCTTCTCCCAGGTCGCATCAGGGCTCCCTTAGCGAGGGCATTTTTGCTCTGGGGAACCACAGAGTGAAAATTCAAGTCTGGAACAGCATTTGAAAAGGTACCCAAATTAGATTATACTTAGGCAGGGGAAATAAAGAATTGCAGTGGGATGGCTGAGCTCTAGCTAGACAAAGGGATTTGCTAACCCCTCTGAAGACTCTGAAGACACAGCCTAGATTCAGAGGGGAGAATGGAAGCGTTTTGGTAACCAAATCATCTCAAAGAGCCAAGTACAATGAGAAGCAGGATTTATGGAACCAGGCCCAATGCAGGCACATCGGGTGGGGTGTGTAAACATGAACAGGATGCCGTCTGTATTAAATTCACAATTAGTGGCCTTGTGCTCAATCTCATTTTCATCATCTATCCTGGACAAACAGAGGCTGCAGGTAATCTGCTGTATTTCCTACTCTATTTTCCCCGAGAGACCCAACGAGACAGACTCTGGAGCTACTTCACCCTGGGTCTCAGTTTGATGGCAGGAGAGAAGTCTGTCTTACCTCAAAAACCCAAAGAAGCCACTGGTCCCTGGGTCTGTGGGTCCTGCAGGTGGAGGCGGACTGCTTTGCTGCAATGGTGGGGTAACCTCCCCCGCTAGGCTATCCTCCCACCTAGAACCTGCAAGGAAAACACTCAGGCAGGGAAAGTGTTAGTCCGGAGGCTTCTTTCATATGAGCAGAAGGCAGGATACCCTCAGCATGAGCCAAGGGCAGCCTCACACCAGGATTTCTTAAAGCCAGATGCATTATTTGTTCTGACTTTCCCAAATTCATCCCAGCCCAGTAAGATGCTATTCTGACCTTGGAGTTATTTTCAAAGTCAGGCCTCTGAGATTTTTACACTATTTAAGTCGCAGCCACCTACCATGGCTGGTGTCTTCACATGGAATGACAACTTGTTGAAGAACTCACTTGCTTCCATTCCTGTATCTGTGATAACTGCAGCCCATACCGAGTCCCCACGCTGGGCAGAAGACCAGCGAGTTAGAAGGGAAACACATAAACATGCATCCCCAGCCTTGCTGAGCAGCCGCTGCACCTTCAATATTAACACTAGCCCTAACCGGTTTGGCTCAGTGGATAGAGCGTCGGCCTGCGGACTCAAGGGTCCCAGGTTCGATTCCGGTCAAGGGCATGTACCTTGGTTGCGGGCACATACCCAGTAGGGAGTGTGCAGGAGGCAACTGATCGATGTTTCTTTCTCATCGATGTTTCTAACTCTCTATCCCTCTCCCTTCCTCTCTGTAAAAAATCAATAAAATATATTTTAAAAAAATATTAACACTAATGCCCCAAAGGGAAGAGAAGTGACAGCTTCCCAGAGGTCATTCTCCAGTAAGACAAAAAAGTCAGACATCCTTTCTAACTTCTTTGTAAAACTTATCACCCCGCATGGAAATGTGAAACATTGGGAGCATCAGTTTCACTACCAAAAGCAGGGGAAGGACATGCAGTGCCTCCCTTCACTTCTCTAGGGAGCTGGGTGAGGGGTGGCTTCTTACTCAAGGGCAAGCCCCAAGACTGGAGGGTGGCCAACAGGCACATCCATGGAAGCAAGACACATCCCCACTGAGCGTGCCCAGACTCAGAGCTCTGTGCTGCTCTGCTCATCAGAAAACTAAAGGGGACAGGACGAGTATTAAAGGAGAATAAATGCACTTCCCAGAACCTACCCTGTTCCTGGACATCAGTGCCATCAAATGCTGGAGTCTCCTGACATTTCTGCTGGGTGTTTCTTTCCATGTTCTGATAAAAGGAGGACCAAAAAAAGTTTTAAACTTTACTCTTATACAGCTTGGGGTCTGAATGCTATTTGTTGGTGAATTGATTTCACATCAGTGCTGGGGGCCTGGCTTCTGACTGCTCAGGCAGGTTCTATATTTCCTTCGGTATGATGTCCTTCTAAAATAACAATTTAAGAGCTGAGAATAAACCGAGCTGGGTTTAATTTATTATTCTGTATTACTGAGAGCCAACTATTAATAATGGCAGAATACCAAGGCTTCAGAAATCTGGAGGACCTTAACTTTCCTGTGGAGAAAAGTATAATCTATGTGGTAAACTGACACATAGACTAAGTCGTATAAGGCGGTGTGATAAGACTACCCCATGAGTCTACATGGAGTGCTGTGGTTGATGAGGAGGACATGAATAGAGCAGGTGGCAGCTAGTCAAGGAAGACCTCACAGGGAAGTGCTACTTGAATGGAGCCTTGATGGATGAGTGGGATTTTGTCATAATGGGGGTGAATGGGTGTTAGGAGGTGGTCAGAAGAGCAGGCCGTTCCAGAATGGATGTGATATATAAAGGCACAGTGCCATCGGTACTAGTAAATACGATCAGCATGGCTAGAGCTGGGCAGGGAAACATACCACAGCATACGCAATCAGCACACTACAGCACAATCTCATGATTACTCCTTGTGCTTTCCCTTTATAGACCTTCCTTTTGACATCCTACAACCTAGCTCCAAACCCACATTTCCAGTAGACAACCTGAGCGCCAGAAACTTGGGTCATGTTTTCTTTGGGAATCTTACCAACTGACCACTGCCCTCACCAGGAGTAAAAAGGGAATGAATGGGTTTGCCCTTCCTTCCCATTTCTCCCCAAACACCTTTTATGGAACTTGACGGCCTACCAAGCAGTGCTGGTGAAGAATTCTACAGCAAGGGCTGCATGCTATCCAAGTAGGTCTGGGAGGCAGAAGCATGGCAAGCGACTAGGTAAGTTAGAATATAGCCCCCATCCTAAGCATAAGCTGATATTTCTGATATGAGCTTTTCCACAAACCATCAAATTCCAGGCTACATGGACAGCCACTTAAGTCATCTATATATATAAAAGCCTAAGCGACCGTTAGGACCCAACGACCAGTTGACCAGCCGCTATGAGTTGCACTGACCACCAGGGGGCAGACGCTCAATGCAGGAGCTGCCCCCTGGTGGTCAGTGCACTCCCACAGCCAACCTCCTGTGCCCCCGGCCACCAGCCACCATAGGCCTCTATTGCTGGCCAGGCCAAGAGACCCCACCCGTGCATGAATTCGTGCACTGGGCCTCTAGTATTCCTATAAAAATGAAAGGAAAGTCTGGGAAGGAAAAAGACATCTCTTACCTCTTCTAGACAGGGTTGATATGCAATTCAGAGGGCCCAGCTCTGATTTCTAGCTTGAACGGATGATTCTTACAATTTTAATGAAACTGTGGTTTGGGGCTTCAATCCTGATGCACTGACCCTAATGAAAGCATCTAGTAAGGTTGGTAGTGGGAACCAGAAGGGCAAAGGCCCTAGGGCAGAGGTAAAGCCTACTTCTGAACCAGGGGAACTTCCCCTCACAAGATAACTGAGCTTTTCTGTTCTCTTGAAATCTTGAGTGAGGTCTTCTTAGGCAAATGTCAAGAGAGGGAAAAACATTATGGCCCGAAATAAGACTGAGGGTATCATCTGGGACATCCAATGGGACACAATACTCTGAAAACCAAACACAAGGTTGCTTCCGTATGTTTAGGGCCAGATCTGCTTAGAAGTGCAATTCAAGCAGAGATGGCAAAAACAAAACAAAACAACCAACACACACGGCAATGTGTTTTACCTCTGGACCATACTTCTGTTCTCCCCCATTTACTCTTTTTATTTAAATTTTTTTTTTACTGATTTCAAAAAAGGGAGAGGGAGACAGAAACATCAATGATGAGAGAGAATCATGGATCAGCTGCCTCCTGCATGCCCCACACTGGGGATCGAGCCCACAACCTGGGCATGTGCCTTGATTGGGAATTGAACCGTGACCTCCTGGTTCATAGGTCGAAACTCAACCACTGAGCCACACCGTCTGGGCTCTCCCCCATTTTTTATCCTTCCAATCTCTGGATCTCTAAGTCTTGGAACTGGGGTAACAAAAGGAATGAGTGAGTCTTCCCTTCTCCCCAAACACCTTTTATGGAACAGAGACCTTATTCAGATGTGTTGTATTCTTTTAAGCTTTCCCCACATAGGCTCTCAATGTGTTCAGACGTGTATAATCCACACTGTGATCTTACACCCTAACTTCCCCCAAAGGGGAGAGAAAATATTAAGCATTGGACCATAGGAGCAAATTCAATTTTTTACAGCTCAAGTGACTTACACTGAGACACTGTGGTCACTTTAATTTAGGAGAAGTCCTCTCTCTGGGAACAGGGTCTACGATGGAGCCTGTCTTTGGGCTTTGAGTCAAAGTCAATAAACATGTCCCTTCTGGGTTTCTTTCTTGCTCAGAGTTTTTTCTAAACTCGGTATCGGGTTGAAACGGTAATTATGTTGAGTAAGAAACTGTGAGTGCTGTTCTTGAAGGCGATGACTTGTCAAACTAAGAATAGGAAGGTAGAAGGGAGACGGTGAAGGGAATGTTCCTTAAACAGTAATTATCTGGCTGTATGAAGCATCTTGTTCGCCAAGCTTCATGTACTCCTATTGCACTTTTTCAGTTCTTCCCTCTCTAAAGGATGGGAGGAGAGAAGAGGGCAACCATCTACCTAAAATCACTGCGGGACCAGGTGGCCATGGCACAAGGAGGCCCTGTAGCTCACACCTGCCCACACAGGGAGAGGTCTGAGTCCCAAAGGGTACATTCTTCCTCCAACTATATGATAAACTCCTAAAAGAAACCCAATTTTACATGTTTTGGTGCGCCCCCACATCTCCCACAATGCCTTGCAAACAGGAGAGAGAGAATCATTTAGGAATTTAAATCATTTTACTTTTCTACTTAGAAA